AGAGACGATGGACTCTGAAAAACAAACTGAGGGTTCTAGAGGGGAGGGAGGTGGGGGGATGGGTTAGCCTGGTGATGGGTATTAAAGAGGGCACATTCTGTGTGAAGCACTGGGTGTTGTGCATAAACAATGAATCATGGAACACTACATCAAAAACTAATGATGTAATGTATGGTGGTTAACATAACAATAAAAAAATTATTAAGAAAAAAGAAAATGAAACAATGCCACTGACACATTCCCAATGGACATATACAAAGAAATCCTGCAGGCCAATAAAAGGAAGGAAGGATACTCCAACTCAGTAACACATTCAAAGTTATTCTAAAGATTTTAAATTAATAGGTTTGGAAGATAGGCAGAAATTTTTGTTTTAATGGTAACAGCCACTGTCAGTGAGGGTGTAGGGAAAGAGAATCCTCGTCTACTCTCGTGAAAATACAATTTATTAAGAGGGTCTCGAAGAACAGTTTGGCAGTAGCTATTAGAATTCATAAGGGACAATTCCTTGAACCAGCAATTCCTGCAAATATGCACATATACCTGTGCTTTCTACAACACTGTTTACTAGAAAACCATAAAAAAATGCAGCTATCTAAAGGACCGTCGGTACTGAATATATTAAGTGAAATGGAATTTCCATGCCAGGGAGAACATAATGAGTCAGACTTATATATGCCAATAGTAAGACAGCCATGAGTCACTAGGATGCAAAAAGAGTGAGTTACAAAACAGGACATGTAAATTATTCACCTTATTAAAATTATACATAAATCTATTTTGAGAAATACAGATTCACTCATTCAACAGATATATATTGAACTACAACCTATGTATTTATTCAATGTGTATATACATTCTTTCAACAAAAATTTATCGAACCTTCTAAGTGCCAGGCACTGGATCTTATTTATGTGTGTGTTTTCTCATGTGTGATATTGATCCATCTCTAGGTGCACTGTTTCTTCACAGGAGAAAAGACTCCGAACATTGGTTATCTTGGAGGGGGGAGAGATTGTGGAGGGTCTTTACTTTCTACTTCATACATTTGTGTACTGATGGATCAAAGGTGATGCCAAGTGTTAGCTCTTCCATTACAGGTAATCATTCTGACACAAGTACTCACCAAATACACAGAAAACCAGGATAGCTACAGTGTGGAGAAAACAGCTAGGCCAGCACACGGCAAAACCTGCACAGGTTCTACTTATAATTTGAAGGAGAAAACAAAGGGTGGGGGAGATGTTCTACCTGGAGGAGTTTCTTCATGAGGAGCATGACTATGGCACTGTGATTGCATAGAGGCCTGTCTGGCTGTCCAATGTTTCCTGTGTGATCTGTATCCCCCATCCAAGAAGGCCATCCTTCTGGGCAAGGCTTCTGACCTGAATTATTAATAAGTCCCTTGAACTACTCTGCCAGACACAGACTGAAAATGATGGAACATTCCGGAAGAGGTTTCCCTTGGTTTGAAAGGCATAGAAGTGAGCAGAGAGTTGCTGGAAACACTCATAATAAAAACGTGAGGATGAAAACCTGAGCACAGGGGCCAAGGAGGTGACCTAATAGGTGGAGCAGGTCAGGTACAGACAGCGGGGAGCAGTGGGGGCGGGACTGGAGGGTGACTGCCCCCCTCCATGAGGCAGCCATGTAGGAGGGAGGGTCTGATGCTGCCAGACTGGATGTTCCCAAAGAAAGCTGGAAAGGGAAAAATTCTGGAAAAAATCTATTTTTGCACCATTTGCAAATCAGTGAAACACACTTGTAAAGATTTAACAATGGGGACCTATGGACATCTGCTCTAAATTGCTTCACGGTAAATGCGATGCAGTGTAAATGTAGCAGCAGAAGTACATGCTGTGTCACATCATGGGCGCAGACACACATTCTGACACACACACACACACACACACCCCCCATATTTCAAAGGAAAAGGGGAAAAAAAGCAAAGAGAGTTCTATAGTCCGTACTGTACCACATAGGTTAAGGGTACTTGCCGTTTTGAAGTGGGTCCTCTGAATGTAATTCTATAATGGGTTGTAATAAGAAAGGCTTGACTCTGTGGGAAGATGGGAAAGAGAGAGAAATGAGTCCAGGAGCTGTTTCAGCAAAACTGCAAACATCCACTCCAGAAACGGCAAATACATCCTGCAAGGGCCATCACTGCACAGGGCCTTCTGCTTCATGACATCTGGCCCCCAGCACACACACTCACACTTCAGTGGATCGGGACTCAGGCGAGGTCACTAAGCAGGACACTCCGAATCAGATGTCCAGTCACAGTCTGATCATAAATACTGAACACTCAAAATCGCTCAGGATAGGTGAGCAAGAATTTTCCCGATGTTCCAGTGTTTTCCAAGCCATATCTAGTTTCCTGCCTCTTCTCCAACAAAATTTTTAACACAGTGCTTATTGCTCACAGTTAACTGAAAAACGGACTCTATTCAGACCAGAAGTCAGTAACATTTATGTGATGAGTCTCCTCCTTCACAATATGCAAAAATCAGACCTCAGAGAGCCAAATCCTCTATCAAACAACCATACACAAAGGCCAAAGCATTTTTCAGCCCAGAAGCCACCTCTGGGCTTAAGTGAGAGCCCACTTACTCTTATTTCACTCAGGGTTCCAAGAAGCCAGGATGTCCTCTGCAGATGCACAGTCTCAGATGCCAGACGGCAACTAAAAAGCATATTTACCGTAACAGAATCTTGTATTTGGAAAGGGTGAAAACCTTGTTTTTATAGGATAAAGTAGAATAAGCTCATACTTGAAAAATATTTCCAGATGTTGAGAATTAGACATCTCTGAAGGACAAGCTGAAACTTCCATGTGCACTAAAAATTTTTTTAAATATAAGACCTGGCATTTTACTGAAATCACTCATTTAAAAACAAGGAAGGGAGTACAGGTCAAAACCACTAAGAAACCTTGACCTTGGCTTGAGGCCAGGGTTTAAATCTCAGCTCCACCCTTTCGTCCACAGGTGCCCTGATGGATATTCGCTTCACTGCTTTGAGCCTCAGCTTCCCCACTGGAATTCACGAGTCTGCTCTGAGCACTGAATGATGATCCAAGTGAAGCATTTCGCATGGTGCTACAAAAAGTCCCAGCAGAGATTCACAAACTCATCCTCTACAGCTCTGCAAACTTTTTAAAATCTGGCCTCAGAGTGGCCCCCGGAATATCTCACGTATAGTAAATGACTAAGTTCAGCCTTCTCGTCATTTGCACGAACAATATTTACTTGGCATCTGCTCTGGGCCTGGCACCTCTCTATGCCCTGGAGATATCCAAGTACACAAAAGACACAGAACAATTCCGATGATTAAACTATTGTAGGTCATTTCTTCTCAAGGTTCAGAGAAATGACGTTCATGGACAGAACAGTCCCAAGGGAGGGTGTCTACTGCATTTGGAAGGACTGCTCAACAGGTTGGAATGAGGATACCGGGGCCAGCAAGAAAGCGGCGTGGGGGTGCAAGGAGAGCCCCCTAAAATGAGGTCTCCGGCATGCAGACCGGCCCCCTACTGACCGCTGCCTCTGAATCCAGCCGGCTCTGTCCTCTGGTCCAAGCCACACTTACTTGAGGCTGTGCAGCTTTCTCGTGACTATCATTGGAAAGTCGACCTCAAAATATTTACTTGGGAGAAGATCTTCATCCTGAGGAAAAATACACAGTGAGTTTTCTAATTCTGTATTCCCTCATCCACTGACTGACCGTCTTCACGTACTGAACACTAGGCCCCAAATAGCAAAGGCATACTTAGCGCCTTAAATTAGGAACGATATGGTCAGAAACGTATTGTTTAGGTGACTTTGGTCTCCGCATGGAGAACTGATGGAGGACAAAAGTTAGGAGGATCTCACAGTCATCCAGGAAGAAGGTCCAGGGAAGAAGTCACGGGGAGCCTGAACTGGGGGGGCCGCCACTGGGATGGACGTGGGGAGGCACTGAGAGGTGCTGGGGAAGTAGGACCTAACAGACTTTTCCAAAACCCAGACTGAGACAGATTAGGGAGGGTCAGGAACCCAATGTGGGGGAGGGGTGTGGGACCAGCATTTAGGGGATCAAATAGGATACAACAGCTAATATCAAAAAGCATCCCCCCCAGTGAGAGCAGGCAGGTTTTGCCCATTTGACCTAGACTCCAAAGAGCAAACAAGCATTTTTTTTTTAAAGAAACACAGATTAAAAAAAAAAAAAAACCTTTGGACCAATATAATTATCAAACAAACCAAAATTCCTCCATAAAATCTTTTAGACCCTATGCTATTAGCCTTCCTCACTCCTGACAGATAACCTTTCTCTTGGAAGGGGTACCTAGGTCTCGGTGTACCTTGACAAGAAATAAAAATGCCAGACTTATTCATTATTAACCGACCTACAGGACGGGGGAGAAACCAAACCTCGGGACCAAGGCAAAAGGGAGTTGGGCTGAAAGGAGGCTTTTCTTCAGCGGCTTCTGCTCACACTGCACACGTTCTGTCCCTGCATTCTGTTCCAGCTCCTTCCACCACACCATGGTCACTGAGGTACAGACACCAACGTGGACAGAAGACTGCAAAGACCCCCCTGAACGAGCACAGGGCTCTGTGTAGAGAACAGGGAAGGAACCTGGACTTGGAGGAGCTGCAGTCCATTGTCTGTTCCATGCTCCAGTCCCACTGGCTGTCCAATTTGGGGGAGACACAGGCTCTCGCGCCCCCCCTTTCCCTATCTGTGTAACCCATCCCCCCAGAGCTCCCAAGTTAATTCATGAGGTCATGGAAGTGTAAGCACCTCATAAATGTGAGCTCTCCTAACCTGAATGAAAAAGGCAGAGGCAAATGATTGATATCAGGCCAGGCTGAGGCTGCTGAGTTTTCACCTGAGTAATAGAAAGGTTGGGAACACTGATGACCAAAGACCTTCTTATCAGGAGAGCTCATTAGGGACAAAACACATATGCAGGTTGCGTTAGGCCCACACGCTCTAATTTATCTTGGTATATGTCTGCAAGAACTCTGGGGAAACTCCCGAACCCATCACTGCCACATGACTGACCTAATAGAAAAAACAGAAAAATCTGTACAAATGTACAGGAAAGAAAATGCAATGGGTGAGGGTGTCGTCGGGAATAGGTTGGACACTTCAATTCCAGCCCAGAATCCAAGACCAGCACTTTGGTCCTGGTTCTGCACTAACAGGACCCATCTTCTTTCCTGTAACTGAGCATAGTTAACCCTGTTCTTGCCCCCTAACAGAGCAGGTGAAGGATCAAATCAGGGAATAGCTACAAAAGGCCTTTGTGTCATATCACCATCACCCAGCCTTGCACATCCCCAAACTGTACCAAGGACACTGTCACAATGACAATAAAGTCTTCGTTATTGTCAATATGGCAGATGCAGGGGCTCTGGGTCTCACAATTTCACTGACAGCGTTCTTCCACACGTGCAGAGGACATGTCTACAAGGATTTTTATCATAACCCCTGTTTGTAACAGCAAAGGATGGGAAGTCAGGCGCCCATCCTTCACCAGGCTCTGGTGACATCACTTATGTGGCTGATGGTAGCAGCAGGTGCAAGCAGCTGGGGACAGGGGCGCGAGACAGGCAGTTACTGCATTCCTTCTGAATATATTTTTAACATTTTTGAACCAGGCGGGCACCTTCACAAATGAAACAATTCGGGAAAGAAGAAGGGGAATTTTCATTTACCTTTAATCTCCAGAAGGTGGTATCCATCCCAGCCCCAAGATTTAGAATTTGACAATGACATTCTGTCTTCCGTAGAAATGCCTTTATCAGCTGACTGACACCATGCACTCGAGCAAAATATCCTGAGAGAGAGACAGAGACAAGCTATCGCTCAGTGAGGTCGGAAATCATCCCTGCAGAGCCCACCCCAGGAGAAGAGCAAATGAGGACTCTCCTGCTCTTCTTTGGGGTCAGTGGTTTATCTCTGGACTTCATGGGAGAGAGAGTGACTTTCACATTCTCTTCCTTTTTTTTTTAATTTAAAGCTGCTAGAACCAAAGTAAGTACAATCTATTTAATGGTAGAATTAACTATCTTAAAAATAAAATGGTCCGTAAATTTACTTATGAAAGACAAGTCGGATCTAAATATTCCTTCAGGAAATGTGCTTTTTTGTGGCTAGGTGAAAGCTACTCAGGACTCTGCAAAAAGTCAAAATGATGAGATCATGATGAAAATGATATTTTGGGGTCATTATATGGGACAGATAAATGTCACAGCAAAAAGAAAAAAAAAAAAGAAAAAAAAGGCTGTATTTCTTACCATGTTCCCTTCATCTCCATCCATGCAGGTAAGAGCCTCTGTTTATAAAATGGCCTCATGGGGCATCTGGGTGGCTCAAGCGGTTAACTGCCTTCAGCTCAGGTCAAGATCTCAGGGTCCTGGGATCCAGCCCCATGTTGGGCTACCTGCTCAATGGGGAGCCTGCTTCTCCCTCTGCCTGCTGCTCCCCCTCCTTGGCACTCTCTCTTTCTCTCTCTCAAATAAATAATATCTTTCAAAAAATAAATAAAATGGCCTCACAGACCATCTGCATTGCCGATAAATGGACTTGCTCAGCTCCAGGAGAATGGGAAGGTGGAGCAAAGGAAATGAAAAATAAAAACAGAGGGAAAGGAAGATAATACCTGTTCTAAAGCCCTGCTGCTTAAGTATAACTACTTTAAGAGCAAAATTTGAGTAGCATTTAGAAACTTACTGCAATGTGACAAGGAATTCTATGTCTATTGATTCTCCTAATAAATAACTTGAGCTACTTCATGTGTTTCTTCCATTTTATTTTTCTCGGAAATCATTTTTAATGTATGTTATAGAATATCGTCCACAACAGATTGGTTACTGGAAAAAACTTTAAAGATGCTCACAACACGCTGTTAGGGAAGCACTCTCCTAGTGGCCCCCAGTCTGGAGATGCAGCCCAGGCAGAGAAAGAAGGAAGGAAGGCCGGCTGACACGCTCCCTGGGGTGCCCATCTCCCGGGGCCCCAAGGTGGGTCCCCGTCTCTGCAGCACTGGTTAGGAAAGCTGCCTCAGGAGCCAGGGAGGGAGCCTTCAGGCCTCTTAGCCAGGCCTGGCCCCATCTCCCTGATGCCTGGGTTCACCCTCAGCTCCAAGTAAGGTCCATGTCCTTATTCTCAGGGACCACCACTTTATACTTTCTTTGCATTTCTTATAGAATCTACCCATGGGCTCCATCTTTAGGGCCAGGATTCCCTCCTGCATGCCCAAGGACTGTGGTCATTTGGTCAATTTCTCAATCTGGCTGAGACTGAGACACCCTCCCGTCTCAAATCCTTTCACTGCCTTGATAAAAAGGACTTGCAGAGCCTAATAGTGTCACTATTATTTTACTAAGGCCATGAAAGTAATTCCTTACTTGAACAGACAGTTCACAGTAAAAAATAATATGAGTGTCTCTTAAGCATATAAAAATCATCTTCAACTTCACCCCCACATAAGAGGAATATAAAATAAAATTACTGTAAGATACCATCCTTCCCGTATCAGATTAACCATGATGAAAAGGTTCCTAATACACTGTGTCGGTGAAGATGTTGGAAAATGAACACTTTCATACGCCACTGGAGAGAATGAACACTGGAACTCTCACTTTTGTAGAATGAATCCCTAAAAGCTCAGGTCTCTGGGCTGATGAGGGGATGCTGGGGGGGGGGGTCACTTGCCTCTGTTAATTTCGGGGGCCTTCCTCTCCTTAGACAGTCTTACAAAATGCTGGATGTAAGGGTCATGCCAGTAGCCAAGGCTTACCGCAAACCTGGAAAGGAGGAAAGGAGGCAGGTGAGTTGAGGTCAGTAGGATCTGACCCAGTTCTCAGGAACCAGGTCAGGAAGGAAAATCATCTACCTCAAAAGGCCAACAGAGGCACATTCGGTGCTCCATTACAAATGTCAGCAGACTCAGCCATATGTCTTGGTGCTCCCACACATGGCCCCTCACCCTCCCCACGGCACCCATTTCTTCCCTCTCTCTACTCATGTGGCTAACTCCTTCCCCAGGACCCTAGAGAGGACAGAACCTCACCTCATCCCTCACCAAGAAGACCTGCCACCACTTATTCCCTCAGCAAACTTACTGGCGAGAGCCAGTCAGACAACTCTGCTTGACCAGAAGTTCTGTGTCTGTAGGAAAGGAAATCCAGGATTGTTCTGTAAAACTCACGAATGACTACCTAAGCATTTCCCCCGGCTCTGTATTAGGTACCAGTCGTTGCTTTCAGCACGTCATAGTGGGGAAAACCAGGAACAAAGAAACACAACAGCTACAATCTAGAAAATGCTATACTAGCCTGCACTCTCTGGTCTACACAACCTGCAAAATGCTATGGTAGCCTAAACTCTCTCCTGTCTACACTACAAGGAATCAAAGTTTTAGTGTTCTAACCCAGGGAGCTGAAGCCCAGATTACCACTGAAGGTCTTCTGGCAACTGTGAGGAAACCAGCCTTAGGACAACAAGAAGTAGGGAAAGGAGCCTGGATCCCTAAGGCCATGTGAAGCCATTTTGGCCCTTGCCCCTCAATGGATATCTTGTGAATTAATAAATGTCTTTAACATTTCAACCAAATGGAGGGGCACCTGGGTGGCACAGTTGAACGGCCAACTCTTGGTTTAGGCTCAGGTCATTTTCTCGGGGTCCTGGCATCAAGCCCAATGATGGACTCCATCCTTAGCCAGGAGTCTGTTTTGGGATTCTCTCTCCCTCTCTCCCTCCCTCCCTCTCTCTCGGCCCTTCTCCCGCCCCGCACTCTCTCTCTCTAAAATAAATAAATCTTTTAAAAATAAATAAATAAATAAAAATAAGTAATAAACAAATCAAATGCAGTTGGTCTTCTGTTACTCAGGCTGAAACATCCTAAGTGATATCCTGAGCCCATTACCTCATTTCCAGTCGTTTGATGAGTTAAGCTGAAAGAGGTAGGGTGTGTGTGGGGGGAGCGGTGTGTGTGTGTGTGTGATATCAACCAGCTGGGTTCTGAGTTTCCAGAAGCAGATAGATATCATATCTTCTCTTTGTATCCACTGACAAGGCTTACTGCTGCCTTGACTACAGTCTGTGCTAATCCTGTACATGCACCCCCTCCACTCTCTCCCATGAGGGCCATGTGGCCACAACCACAGACCCCCATAAGGAAGCACATACCTTTGGCTACTCAAGGCAGCAACTCAACACAGAAACACACAAAAGTACGCACTAAGGGACACAATTTGCTACAAGCCTAGATTGTCAAGGAAAACTGACCCACAGAGTTTTACAAGGGTGAACAGGCTCCATTGTCTAAAACAGTGCTTTTCAAACAGTGAATTGTGACCCATCCATGTCATAAAATCAACGTAGTAGTCTGCAAATCCCCGTCTTAGAAAATGCAGTCAACTAGAGTAAACTAGAAAATAGGAGTAGGCATTACACACTGTAAGAGTTAAAGATTGTTTTGTGAAGCTTTTGCTGAAGTGTGTGCTCGGGGTTTAAGTGCCATGAAAACTCTTTTCTCTAAACAAACAAAACAAAATAGACTTTTTTTTTAAAGATTTTATTTATTTATTTGAGAGAGAGAGAATGAGAGATAGAGAGCACGAGAGGAAAGAGGGTCAGAGGGAGAAGTAGACTCCCCGCTGAGCAGGGAGCCCGATGCGGGACTCAATCCCGGGACTCCAGGATCATGACCTGAGCCGAAGGCAAACAAAATAGACTCTTAAACACAGAAAGGAAACCGGTGATTGCCAGAGGGAAAGGCGGGGGTGGGTGAAATTGGTGATGGGGATTAAGAGGTACAAACTTCAACAAATATAAATAACTCACAAAGACAAAATGTACCTCAGGAATATCGTCAATAATATCAGCTCAGTCGGTTAAGTGGCTGCCTTCGGCTCAGGTCATGATCCTGGGGTCCTGGGATGGAGCCCCACGTCCGGCTCCCTGCTCAGCAGAGAGCCTGCTTCTCCCTCTCCCTCTGCCTGCCACTCTGCCTACTTGTGTGCTCTCTCTCTACCGCTCTGTCAAATAAATAAATAAAATCTTTAAAAAAAAATAAATAATAATATCATAATAACACTGTACCGAGACTGATGGTGAATATATTTAATCATGGTGAGTGCTGAGTAATGCACAGACTTGTCGAATCACTATGTTGCACATCTGAAACTGACATGACATTGTATAGATCCATTATATTTCAATAACTAAAAGAGAAAATTGTGTTCTCACCATTGGTGGTTTGATGAGCACTGTCCTCCAAGCCATCATCTAGTGCCACCTAGTGGTAAAAGCCCTATCTGCAGTTGAGAAAGAACCACAGACCAGTGACAAGAGTCCGCAAACATGGATGTCTGGTCGGAAGGGGCCTTCCAAATGACCTGGTCAACCCTGACATCCAGGGCAAGCACCCTTCAACAACACCGAGCCACTGCCTGAGCACGCCCCACAAAGAAGGCACTCGCTCCCCCGCTGAGCAGCTCTACCTGCTGATAAGCTGACCAAGCTGCCTTCCTCTAGGAGCTCCTCCCTGTACTTCCTACTGCCCCCTCCTGGACGACAAGGAGCAGCTTCTGTACGCGCCCTCAGTTTAACACTCTTGATCCAGTCAAGGGATACTTGTTGAGTGTCCGCTAAGTGCCAGGCACTGGGGATACAGTGGGGAACCCGGGAAGACACAGAGACAGAGACAAAGAGAAAGTAAGAGCTTATGCCAGATGAAGGACAACAGCATGGGGGCAGGAAGCGCCTCGGAATGTTCCAGTAGCAGAAGGTAGGCAGGGAGGCTGAAGAACAGCAAGAAACAGGAGAAACCTCAGAGATTTCTAGGGTGTGTGTGTTCTAATTTCTCTGTTTCAAAATTTTTCTACACTAATCATGTGCCGTATTTCATTCTAAGACACCATCAATTGTAAGACTGAAAAAAGAAAGAAAAAACACTGCCAGTTAGTTTTTTATTGTTTAGAATTCTAATTTTGTGTTTATGAAAAAGCCCTTTTAGACTTTTTGAACAGAACGAAAGGGAAAGGATGAGTGACATGGGTTGGTTAAGTCTTCCCTTTCAGAAGATCTGTGAGTTTCCACACAACATTGACGTTTGAGCCGCCAAGGGCACTGGTGAGGCTGTGTTTCTGAGGAGATCGCCATCATCGGCTCTGAGATTTCTTTCCAAGCTCCCGACCCTCCAGGTGTAGGCTGTGCTCCTGAGTCTTTCTTGATCTCATCAGAAGGTATCAATGGATGGTTCTGGAAGAGCAATTGGGATTTGTGCTCCTTCTTCAAATGGCCCTTAAATGGCACATGGACTGAAGCAGCCAGGGGCTGTGGGTGCAGTGGTCCAGCCACGCCACGAGGAAGACCGAGCATGTCCACGTGCACAGATAATGACAACTCTTAACATGACGCACAGTGACTGCAGGACACATCAAGAATGAATCACGGGCACCTGGGTGGCTCAGTCTGTTGGGCAACCGACTCCTGGCTGAGGCTCAGGTTGTGTTCTCAGAGTCTTGAGATGGAGCCCCACGTCTGGCTCCGCACTGGGCGAGGAGCCTGCTTAGGATCTTTCTCTCTCCCCTCCCCTCCCTACCACCGCTCACATGTGTTCTCACTCTCAAAAAGTTAAATAAATAATCAAATAAAACCCAAAGAATGAAAGATCCCATATTTAGAAAGACCTTTTCTCAGTGTTCATTCAATCCAGTATTGCCCTGAAATTTTCATGATGTTCACATACCACCTGCTGCATTTAATATTCCCTTATATATTTTTTAAAGATTTTATGTATTTATTTGAGAGAGAGAGAAAGAAAGTGAGGGAGAGAGCCCAAGCAGGGGGAGTGGCAGAGGGAGACGGAAAGGGAGAAGCAAGCTCCCCGCTGAGCAGGGACCCCCCCAAGGTCATGACCCGAGCCGAAGGCAGACGCTCAACCGATGGAGCCACCCAGACGCCTCTTAATATTCCTTTAAATCAACTCACTTATTTTTAGTACCCAGGTCTGACGTGCTACCTAATATTTTCTTCTAACACACCCTGTAATAAATACCTATTAAAATGTAAAACTTCTATCTGGGTGCCACCTCAAGTCATCTCACATTCCTCCCGTGGGAAACACTGATCTGTTCCGGCCACCTGTTCATTCAAGAAGCACTGACTGACTTGGCCCCTTCGGCAGGAGTGTCACCTGCAACGGTGGGAACTTGCCAGGAAAGGGGTGACATGCCCTCCACCGGGTATTTCTCCATCGGAGGGAATGGGAAGGGGCCCTCCCCGCTCTCTCAGCCAGTAAGGGTCAAGGCTGGGTGTGCTTCATTTCACTTCTAATCAACACTCATGAGTGCTGGCTACAATGCAAGGCATTATTGCACACACTGAACAAATAGGAACATGTACAGCCCTCAGAAACACCCTCCGTGGAAGGCACCACTTTACAGACAGAGGCCAAGGTTGTTTCCTCAAGCTGTGCAACCTCGGAGGAAACTTAATTCCATTGCTTTTCAAACCTACTTTCCCACTTGGACTTCCATCCCTCCCCCAACACTTCAGTTGCTCAAATGGTATCTGTGCGTATGTGTGTGTATGTGTGTATTTATATGCACCGTATGTACATATATACGTACCTACAATGTTTATATCTGCAACTGTCAAAGTCAATCCAATACCCTTAGCATCAGTTTTCAAGTTTGGAATTTTAGCTGCGTGCTGCATACTGGCCTTTAAGATATGTTCTACCTCTCATTTTTAATTTTATCCTTGTTCTTTTGCATGGATCAGTCTCAGTTTTTGG